CTGCCCAAGCGCAGTAGCCAGAACAACCCATGTTTTGAGCCAAAGGTTACAACCTATTTATGAGAGTTTTATCAAATTTTACCAGTCATCTCAAATATGTTTTTGTAACTGCATTCAGTTTCAAGTTTTTGGGTCTCTCCCCATTCAAAGAGATAGGAGTCTGGGCTTGTATGACTGGAAATAACTGTCTGGCAGCATTGCAAACATGGCCACAGAGTGAACAGACCTCACTATGAGGGCTTTGACCAATCGGCACAGCAGTGACACTGACATGGTAGTATGCATTACGCTGGTATCAAGTGTATCAAGCACAGCAACACTGCTGCTGGCCACTTTATTCAAAACCTCCATGTTGTTGGTACACCTCGTAGACAGCAGAGTCTACAGCTCATCTTTTTCCATGTATAGATTGTGTTAGTCATCCTCTAGTCCTTCAGCAGTGGTCCATTTCTGACCACAGATCTGCTATGGGTGGATAAATTTGGGTTATGGCAGATTTCTTAACCTAGCAGCGACACTGACGTGCGAGTAAAAACCACAGCAATGCGGCTGTGCCTGATATACACACATACTAGCAAGTCAGTGTCCTTGCTGTGCTGAAAATGGTTCGCCATTCAAATAATATCTGGTCAATAACAGTCCTGTGGACCAATGATGAATGGAGAGGACAGCTGACATAATTGTGCAGCAAAAGATGGGCTACAGTCTCTGTACATTGTACAATATAGGTGTTTCTAATAAAGTGGCCAGTGAGTGGAAATACAAGCTAGTGTTTCCAATAGGATGGCCTGTGAGTTGAAGTAGATGGCAGGGGGTGGCTAATAAAGATGTTTTGATCTTCAGTTTATCAGAGTATTTAGTGTTACAAAAGTACAATATTTTTTTTACAGAATCAGAGCATTATGGTGTCCTGATCTAACGTCCTAGCCTAATATGTTAGCTTCATTTTAGCACACTAACCACAAGCTAACAGCTAGTCCTGATACAGCAATACCACACGTTATGATATGCTGCAACACAATATAATATGTTTTATTGTTACCTCCCTAGTAAAGTATTTAGGCCATCAGGACTCTGAGCACCTCACACCCAATGGCCCTCCCTCCGGCCCCTATATCGCTCATACTCTACTCACATAAACATCTGACCAGTAATGTGGACCCAGAACCCCACACCCATTACCTCTCTCTCATAAGATGGCTGCTAGAACATTACAGACTTTCACGCACAGCAATGTACAATTCAGCAGTAGCTGAAAAAGTTATTTTTGATGTGATTTTCTGATTAAAAGTTTGGCCACGCATTGAAGCCCAGCTGGAGGCCCCCTTAGCAGCCAGCAATGCCTGGACGTCTATTTAGAAGGAAGCAACAGTCTCTTCCTGTGTCACATGCTTTAGTTCTGCATGCTTGATTAAAATGTGACACTATTCCGTTTTTACAGGGATTAAGGGTTTTAATGGACTTTCACAGGAACAGAAGCAATGGAGGCACTTGTTTGTATTATCAAATAATATCAAAATAACAGACCAACAGAGTCTTCCTTACTCTTCTACTGCGTTTCCTGCACTCTTTAAAATAAAGGCCCCATGATGCTGTAGCAGACCCGCATTTAATTCCTTGAAGAACCTTTCGAAAGTGGCTCTTTAAAGAACCATTTTTATAAATGAGATGTGTGACACTATTCAAAGTTTGAAGAACCTCCACATAATGTAAAAGCTCTAGGAAGAACCCTTAACCCTGTAAATGGCCGTGGCCCACCAGCAGGCCCAAAGTTTTATTACAGACTTCTATAACTAAGAATAGCTCAACCAGTTTGCACTAAATCCCTTTAGTTACTGAAAACTAATCCTTAGTATGTAATAAGGCTGGGATGTTAAAGGGTTAAACTGTAAAAAGGTTTGTCAGTTCAACCTAAAAAATACTTAATGTGGTAACAAGCACTTTGATTATATTTATTATGCTCAAATAAAAACAGCAAGAAGGCAAGCACAATTTTAATTTAGGAAACAAAGCAAAGTTTTGTGGCAATTCAGACCTCAAAAAACCCCAAATCAACTTCTGCCCTTTTTCACTTTTGACTGTGTAAAAATAAAGTGATGGCAAAGAAGAACCACCTTTGGTTCCCCCTCAAAGAGAGGTTCTTTAAAAGATATTTACTACAGGCAAAGGCTATATTTAAATTGTGGCAACTCAAAGAAACATTTGAATGCTTCAATGGTTCTGTACCATGACTGAGCACCTTTTGTATATGGTTCCTTAAACCCCTTAAAATCTCAGGCTTATTACACACTTATTATTTAGTAACTACACGGACTTTGATACACACTGAGCTATTTTTAGGTTATTGAAGTGTGTAATAAAACTTTGGGCCTGCTGGTGGGCCCTGGCCATGTAAGGGGTTGATCTAATAACTATCAGATGCTACTTAATACTTTGATACCATTTTCCCACAGTGGACACAGACATGGAGAGTTATCACAATGTAAAATACTGTGCAGAAGTAAGAGACTACCGTTCACGTTTCATTTCCTGTCAAAATGGCCACTACATGTACAACTTTTCAGAAGATATTTCTGAGGCAATAATACACTTAAATAGGGGGAAAGTCAAATGAAAATAAATAAACTGTGCAAAACCTGGTAGATCCACCAAAACTGGCCCCATCAGATAAACAGCAAACTCCTGTGGGTCTGAAAGGATATGTAGCTGTCAAGAAGCTGTTACTGAGAAAAGTGAATAGACAAAAAAAGAAGAAAATGTAAAAAATGAAACTAAGAAGCTGCTGGTGTTCTCAGAACAATGGACTGACCACCCCAGAGTCCAGACCTCAACATCACTGAATGTGTATGGAATTACTTGGATGGTGAGAAGCAGAAAATACACCCAACTTCTAAGACTGAACTTTGGAGGTGTGGAAAAATATCCCTGCTGATTTCTTGGAAAAACTGAAAGCCTTCTGAATAGAATGTAAGCTATAAAAAGGCAAAGAGTGGACACACTAAATACAAGAAAATTGATATGATATTTCATTGCTGAGGCTCCTGTGTTATTTTCTGTTTGTGTTTCCCATTTTTTTTTGATGCCGACCACCAAAATTCTCAGTTGTCTTTGTGCTGAAGGACTGTGACTAACTCACTCTCTCTCTTCTTCACAGACCCACTGTCATAAATTCATCATTTTTAAGAAAAACTATAAACAAAGCATGGAACATTTTTTATCACTCCTGCCTGGACACCACGCTGAGATTACTCTTTTAAAGGTTGACTAATCCAGTCACCTCCAGCCATGTAGTCTTCCTGTCCTGCATGGTTTCCTGTTTTCTGTTCCTTTATCAAGAAGAACTTCATCATTAGCTCATAATGTGACTCACTCAATCAGGTGCAGGAAAACCAACAAACTGTGCTATACAGGTGGAGCATCCAATACCGGTTCCAACCAGTTATTAAACAAACATTTTAATGATATATTGTCCATTTTTCTAATGTAGGGAGCCCAACTTAAGAAGATTCCCAGTTTAGTGACTTCCCTCCTCTAACACACCTAAACCAAGGGAAAATATCACAAAGCAGGATTTCTTAATTAGGTTGATTATTTGAGATAAAAGTTGAGATGCATTAATAGAGATGTATACAAAATCATTATTTGTAGTGTATTTTCTATTGGGAGGTGGCTGTCCCACACCCTAACCCGTAAATTTCAAATTTTTTAAATAAATAAATTTAACAAAACTTAAATAATTAAACATTTATTAAAAACAATTTGAGACTGAATCCCTGTCCCTCATGGCCACATAGTAAGCAGTTAGATCCCATTGTTGTAAAATAAATGTGTCCCAAAGTCTGAAAATCAGTGTGTAACATTAAAAGCTGTCACTACCGAAACATGCAGTAACCTTTTGTTATGTTTACATGAAAAATATTCTGATTTTATGTGTACAGCTGTTCAAAGCTGTGTTTGCTAGTCACGTAGTGGCTAGTATTTTTGAGTTCTGGTCAAAATGAACTAAAATGGTCATTTCTGAAACCCTCCAATAGCTTTGCAATACCTTTGGGAAAAATTGGAGTGGTGTTTGTGATCCAGAACTAAGGATCCAGACTGTTATTTAACCAAAGGATGGACACGCTTATTAATATTATGTTGATTATGTTGAAGGCAAAGAAGAAGCACCGAATGAATAGACAAACTTCCAGACATGCACTAACTGAGGACTTCATTATGTACACTTCCTTGTTTCTACAGTCATTGTCCTTTTTATCAGCTCCACTTATCATATAGGAGCACTTAAGCCCCCTTCACCCTGTTCTTCAGTGGTCAGGACCCCCGCAGGACTACCACAGAGCAGGTATTATTTGGGTAGTGAATCATTCTCAGCACTGCAGTGACACTGACGTGGTGGTGGTGTGTTAGTGTGTTAGAGTGGATCAGGCGCAGCAGTGCTGCTGGAGTTTTACAACACCTCAATGTCACTGCTGGACTGAGAATAGTCCACCAACCAAAAATATCCAGTCAATAGTGTCTTGTGGGCAGCATCCTGTGACCACCGATGCTGTGGTGGTCCTGTGGGGGTCCTCACCATGACGAACAGGGTCAAAGAGGGCTAACAAAGTATGCAGAGAAACAGATGGACTACAGTCTGTAATTGTAGAACTACAAAGTGCTCCTATATGGTCAGTGAAGCCGATCAAACGGACAATAAGTGTAGAAAAAAGGTAGGTGTACCTAATAAAGTGCTCGGTGTGTGGCCTTGGCTGCCTAAGAAATTCTGCTTTGTAAAACAGCCCCTCATTAGTTCATGAGTGGAACCGTGTCCTGCCCTCCAGGACTGCAGGTGGGCTCCCCTGTTCTGTCGTAACCGTCGACTCTGTGCCACTGAGATAACAGGTGGTTGGTCAGAGGCGCTCAATAGCGCAACTTTCCCTTTAAGACTTTCTGTCCATTCTGCGTAGAGCCTTCATGAATGAAACCACGTGACCAAACATCATATGACGTCTGGCCTCGGCACAAGAGAAAGAGGATCAACAAGGAGAAGGCGGAGAGGAGCGGAGCAGCGATTTCCGAGGCAAAACACCGACTAAACTTACTCGCCGTCGCTTCGGCTTCTACTTTTTGGCCCTCTTTTGGCTTCGAAGACGGTTCCCGTTCGGGTTCGGTGAGTAAATGTGCCTTTCCAGGGGCGGGAAAACGACCCGAAGTTGGCTTCTGCGCTCCTCCTGCGCTGAGGTGAGGGCGGCCGTGTCAGTGTCAGAGTCAGCTAAGCTCGCGCGAGGGCTGTTTTGCTGTTTTGCTGAGTGTGCACGCGCCTCTCTGGTGCGTGTGCTCGTGTGCGTTTATGTGTGTATTTGTGTGGGGTCAGGTATGTATTTAGCTCTTTGTGGGGATCATAAGCTCACCAGGACGGAAAACGTCAACATTATCATGTTGTGGGGACATTTGGCTGTTTTGCTGAGTGTGCACGCGCCTTTCTCTCACAGCGCACGAAAGAGAGAGTGTGAAAGAGAGTGAAAGATCCCTGTGTTTACTGTATTCAGGTCTTTGTAGGGACCTAATGTCCACATGATAAAGAAAAACTTAATATTTTGCTCCCCATTAAGGAAATGGTTTAATCAAAAACGCAGCTTTTGTTAGAGAAAAAAAGTAAATCGCCCACCGCTTAGCTTTCGGTTTTTGAGGTTAGGGTTAGGGCTGGGTTAGGTGTAGGCACAGCAGTATCGAGACCCTAGAATAGGTAGATGGAAAGACCCCTTGAAGACAGGCATACGAACTAGTGTTTGTGTGTATGTGTGTTGTTGGCTGCCTTTGCTAAGCGACATCGTGCCGATATGAGGAGGTGTGGGGGATATTAAAGGGCTCGCCGTGCTGATTCATCACGGTTGGGTCATTAAGCCGAGGCACCGGGAGGACACCCACAGCCCTGCCCCGCAGAGAGGCACTTTAACCCGCACACAAAGAGCTCGGCGTTACAGTGTGCGTCGGATCGCGGTTGGAATCAAGTCTACAGTGTGGGAGCATTTTTCCCCTTCCCCTCCACCCCCTCTTTAGTCTGTCAGTCAGGTGTGGGCAGCAAGGGGTCGTCGGCTTTTGCGTAGCCATGTTTAATTTGTCACATTTTCGGAAATCGTTTGTGCACAGAGGGTCCAGGCGTGCTGCCTGTGGGAATGTAGCTTAGCTTTGCCCCCCAGTAGCTCCCAGTAAGTAGCTCGTCGAGAAAACGTGACCGTGAGCTCAGACACCAGCCCATATCCACATCTACGGAGCTGGAGGTAGACAAACCGGCCATATCTACTCAGCTAGGGCTAGACACGCCAGCTAGGGGTAACACAGCCACCCAGGTGGGGGTATAAAGCCGAGTGGGGAGCCTCTGCTGCTTCAGCACAAACACCCGCTGGAAAACAGCACAGCGGCGACACGCTGCTAACGTTAGCTGAGGTAAGTCAGGAGATTATGTAGTTAGCAGACTTATTTTCTGTTAACTGAAAAGAGACCTGTTTGCCAATGTCGTAGTAGCTTGGCTGGCTAATAATAGACGTCAACGTGGCTGTGTCCAGTTTTTTCCCTTCTGAAAGCTGCCAGCTCTCGAAGTCGTTGTCTATTTTTATGAGGTCGTTCGTTACGGCAGTTGTTGTAGTAGTACAGGTTAGTAGTAGTAGTAAGTAGTATACGGACAGATTTGAAGTGAAATTTATTCATTTTAGAGGGTGTGAAGAAGTTTATTCCCTTCCACGACGATGAAGATACATTTCTGTTCGCTTTTGAACAAGGAGCTTGTTGACAAAGTGCACTTTTTCGATTTAAATTTCTCAACCGGGCTTCGTGAGTAACGTTAGCGACGTTAGCCACCGTTGTCTCCTTCCAAAGCAGGCGATTCTTTCGCTAATGACTGAACGGCGCGTTTGTCGGGGGGCTGTTTTAATCGTTTCATTTACATAGAGCCGACAGCCATGTAGTCATTTCGTCGCTTGAGGTTTTGTTGTTATTTTGTGTTTGTTTCTATAGTGTTTTTTGTTTTCTGAGTGAGCGAACCGGGCTGCTGATTCATCACTCGTTGCTGTTTGCGAGCTCCGGCACCGGGGAGCCATGGCAACGCGGGAGCTCCGCTCAAACACATTACTGCATAGGCACTATGGGAATGCATTAGAGCAGTAGTAACTGTTATTATAACACATATAATAGATGCGTTACTATTTTAATACTTAAAACAGGAATCACTGGAAATGCATTGTATGAAGACATTATAACCTTATTAACTGTTATTACAACACTTATAACAGAGAACTTGACTGATTTAGCGCTTAAAACAGTAATCACTGGATTGCTTTTGTGAATACTTTACAATGTGATAACTGTTATTATAATACTTATAACAGACAACATTACTTTTTTAAGACCTAAAACAGTAATCACTGAATATGCATTGTGTGAACGTATTATAACGTTAGTAACTATAACAGATAACCTGGCTGTTTTGGCACTTAAAGGGGAACTCCACCAGTTTTTCAAAATTTCTGCATAATTAAATGGTTAAGATGTAAAGAAAGTCATTCAGAGTGGTTTAATGTGAAATGCTTCATTCTAGAGAAACTTACTGAGTCAGAATTGTTCACAGTGTGATGATAGGAACCAGACGTCTGAAGAGTTTATTGCCTCTAACACCTACCTCTCAAAAAAGTTACTGCACAAAATCGTTATGTATATGCTGCCTGTTGCCTGAGACATTGTTTTATGATAGTTTTGTGAAAAACGTTTTGGCCTAAAACGTCTTGTTAATCCATTTAGATCAGTCCATTCATAGCAGAGCAGTACATGCAGGGCTTTTGTAAGGCAGATTAATCCGCAAAAGTGTTTGACGATTATCAGATTTTTCACATTTTCCGCTATTTTACAACCATAAACATTACATATAAAAACTCAGAAGACATGTGTAGGCTCACCAGTGGTTTTGGATAATAAATAAAATGGCTATATTTGTGTTGTAGACATTGAGAGTAGCTTTTTCTACAGCAAACCATTTTACATCAGACCACTCTGAATAACTGTTTACATTGCAATGGCGGAATTATGCAAAAAATCAGTGTACTTCTTTTTTAAACAACAATAATTACTGGCTGCTTTTTTGTGAATGCATTATAATGTGGTAACTGTTATTATCATTTATAACAGATGATTACATTCTTATTATTATTATGAATCTCCACTTAAACAGGCACATTTCTAGCCGTAACTAGTTTAGAACTGTTTACTGTGGCATTGATAAATGTTATGGTAAATCTTGACTTAGTTCTTTACATTTTCTAGGTGTTAATTACTTTCAGATTGCGGAATTGTATACTAAGTGTTTATGCTCGGATTGGTGGTAATGTGTAGTTACTTCATTAATATGTTTTTGTAAGTGCTAGTGTGGTCTGCTCTTGCTGACCATGAACATGCCGATCCTAGTTTGGGGACCTGTGCTGTATTTTGAAGAATGTAACCTGTGTTACTGAGCCATGCCTCAACCTGTCTTTCAGATTCAGCCCTGATTTGTACCTTGAGATATCAGAATTCACTCCGTCACTGCCGTTCTGACACACGTGCGCACACATGTCCCTCATGTTGGGAACTGGAAAGGCCCTGAGATGTAATCTAATTGCCCTGGTGCTCAATTAGTTGTTTGTTGTGCAAATCAATTAGCTGATTGATTACAAAGGCACCATGTGAGGGGGATCATATAGCTACAGCTTCTCTTTCAAGAGCCACGTCCACCGTATTATCCTGAAAATTCTCCAATAAAATCTGAATTGTAATTTGTGGCGCTTGGTGCAATTAGTGGTGTAAATGGTCCGGTTGAGAGGCCGGGGAACAAGTGTAATTTGATCATTGGAGTACTTAGGCTGCACTTTAGGCGGTGCAGTTTTTGCTCCCCCGTTCACTTTCCCTGGCTTAATTGAACGCTGACCGATGCTGATGGGCTGAATGTGCTGATGGTTGAATAGAAAAGCAGCAGGAAAGAACGAGATAAGATTAAGAATGTGGGATAGGATTGGTGGAGACAGAAGGGAACAAGAAGCTTTTTGTCTTCAAGGCATTCTCCAAAAATGCTGAGGCAACTGAAACGCACCCTCGCTTGACAGATGGCGTTTTCACTTGTTACTTAGCTTGCTCTTCCGCAAGTGTGGGTATACTTAGGCATAAAATGAGTGCAGCAGGTCTATGGAGCATTTGTGTACGTGCATGTATGTTTAGGGGGTGGTTTTTAAAATATCAGCGTGCATCGAAACTAAGTTCTTGACCACACGGTTTCTACAGTGACATACAGTACTGTACAAAAGTCACATCAGTCAAAACAGCCTTTGTGTTCAAGCTATTCATTTTTTTAGTGCTAGGAAAAAAAGGAGAAAGCATGTTTAGCAGAAAATTGCACACAAACTTTAACTGAATGCATTTAGGGTGTCAACCTTTTGCCTTTATTATAGCTTCCATTCTTTTCAGAGGATTTGCTTTAGGGTAATTTTTCCACACCTCCAAAGTTCAGTCTTAGAAGTTAGTTGTTATTTTCTGCTTCTCACAATCCTTGTAATTCTAAATTCAATGAAATTGAGGCCTGGACTCTGGGGTGGTCAGCCCAAAGTTCTGAGAACACCAGGACATTCTTTGTTTGTTTTGTAGATTTTCTTTTTTTGTTTATTTCCTTTTGTATGGCTTCTTGACAGCTACACATACTTCAGACCCATAGCGTTGAGTTATCCTCTCGAAGTGGAAGTTCTCATGTTTGATGTGAAGCAAGAGAGGATCATATCTCTCAAAGATGAAAGCTGTAAGTACAGCTTATCTGATGGGGACTGTTTTGGTGGTCACCGGGTCTTGCATGGTTGTTAGTCCCATTTTCTCAGTATCTTTTAAGCATTTTTTTAACTCAAGTTTTGGAAACTCCTGGTTTTTATGTATTTTCCTGACTTTCCCCTTCCTTATGCAGGTGCGTTATCTTGTATCTAAACTCCTCAGAAATATATCCTGAATAGCTTGTACTTAGTGACTAATTTGACTGAAAATTAAATGATTGCAGGGGATTTCTGAGATGCGCCCAGCACTGTATATGGATTTTTATACATGTGTGCGCTTTCAGGTTTTTGCTTCCTGTAGAATTTTGCTGACTCCTTCATTGCCTTTAACCTTCGTGGTGCAAAACAAAGAGTTTGGTTGAGAAGGAAACACAGTCAGCTCACCTTAGATGTTCATATGTGCAG